AGGTTTTACTTCTATTTCATATAACTACCACCTGGTCACATCTTTCTTATTTTTGCTCAATTCCCAGCACTCAAATGGTCTCTCTTTGCCACCTCACATCATGTCCATCTGAAATTGAGGGAGGTAATGTTGAGTAAGAGAAGAAATAGAAACACCTAAGTTCAAACTAAGAGACGTGACTAGAGATCTGGGCTTTCTCCATCCTTCCAGTTGGAGCACCCTCCTGGCAGGGGCCATTTTCTTAGGAAAAGGCAACCTGCACTGACTCAGGAACTTTGGGCCTCTTGAACTTAGAAGGTAGTCACCTAATCTGGAAACATCCATTTGTCAGGATTGTGTTTGGTGAGCCTGGCACAGAGAAAGAGCAGATGAGGCAGTCAGGGACTTGAGACATAAGCTCACTGTGAAATTCCAAGGAAAAACTGGCCTAGATGTGACTCCAAAGAATATCAGCTTTTCCAGAGGGACCTTTTCTACCCTACTAAGGGCATGGCTCTTCTTGACTCTTCGGCAGAGTCCCCTGTCACAGAGATACTTTAGGGCCAATCAGAAATTCTGCAGGGTGTGTGTGTGTGTGTGTGTGTGTGTGTGTGTGTGTGTGTGTGTATAACCTAGATTGGGATGGTAACCTATCAGCTCCTAATTGGCTTGGTAGTAATCTAACTTCCCACTCTGTCCAAGGGAAAATTCCCTACCTTCTGGTTTTTATTTTTAAATAAAATGTTCTCTGTTCCACCTAGTTTTGAAAATATTTCCACTAAAATTCCCTTTTTATGATAAGTCTGAATAAATTTAGGAACTAGATTGGGGACAATCCAACCCCTTTCAGACTGCATTTCCAATCATAAAGTCTGGTTTCCTTAGAAACCAAGCTTTGAACTACAACTGATCCTCGGCCTCATCCCTTCTTTAGAAAAGCCTAACTTCCCTAGACTGGGGTATTCTTATATAGCCAGGGCTCCTACCACAGAGAGAAAGGCTTTGGTAGAAACTTCCTTTCCTAGAGAGGACAAAGCCCTTTCTGTACTGAATGCTTGAAATACATTTGAACTATACTGAAAGGTTCATGAATAGAATTATACCACACCCTGATTTCTGAATCTACCCTTAACTCACACCATCCTTCCCTTTTCTATCTATTCTGTCACCTCTATCTTTCCTTCTTACTCATCCCCTCTCATCTAGGTGTGAGTACAAGCTCTGCCACAACTTAGTATGTGACCTTTGGACAATCCACCCACTCTTTTTTTTTTTTTTTGGGAGGGAAGGAAAGAGAAATGAAAGAGAGAAGAGTTGGAAAGGAGGAAGAGAAGAGGGAAATGAGAAAAAGGAGTGAGTAAAGGAAGAAGGGAAGGAGGAAAAGGGTAAGGCAATGCGAACATGAAGGAATGAAGTAGAAGAGGGAGAGAAGAAAGGAAGTGTTAAGGGTGGTAGAGGAAGGAGAAAGGAAAGAAATTAAGGAAAATGTCAATGGAGAAAGATAAAGGAAGCAAGGAAAGAAAGACAGGAAGGAAGAAAGCAAAGAAGCAAAGAAACAAAGAGGCTCTGGGGGTGGTAGCTCCCTTATTCCATGGGCCTTTGGCCCATGAACACCCTCCGCAGGGCACCCTGAACTTCAGCGTTCCGGAGGCTGTAGATGAGTGGGTTTAGCATAGGACTGAGGACAGTGTTGAGGATCCCAATGCCTTTGTCATTGTCTGATGTCTCAACAGAACCCAGATGCATGTAGCTAAAGAGGCCTGTGCCATAGAAGATGCTCAGGTGTGAGCTGCAGGTGGAGAAGGCCTTCTTCCGGCCCTCAGCTGAACAGATCCGCAGCAGCCACATGGGCATAGGAGGCAGAGATGAGCACCAGGGGCATCACACCCATGAAGGCTGAACCTACAAAGAGCAGCCTCTCATTGAGACTAGTGCTGGAGCAGGAGAGGCCAAAAAGCAGTGGTACATCACAGTATCAAATTGGGGCCATAGAAGTTGAGCACAGACAGAGCCACTGTATGGGTCACTGCATTGCAGAAAGAGATGGTCCAGCATATGCCTATCAGACTCCCCTGGGTGCTTGTGCTCATTTGAGTGGGATAGGTCAGTGGGTGGCAAATAGCCAAGAAGCGATCATAGGTCATGGCAGTCAGTAGGTGTCAATCCACACCAGCCAGCAAGTGGAAGAAGAGGTGGGAGAAGCAGGAAGCAAAGGAAACTGAATGGTCTTGGGACAGAAGCAGTTTCAGCATTGGGGGCACTGTGACAGTGATGCACCCGATGTTGAGGAAAGACAAATTCCCAATAAAGAAGTACATGGGTGTGTGCAGCTTAGGCTCCATGTAGATGGCTACATAGGCCAGGAGAAAGATAGTGAAGAGAATGGGTTTCAGTTCCTGACACTCTGTTAGCCCTAGCAGGATGAATTCAGTCACAGATGTCCTGTTCTGACCAGGTCCCAGATCCATGGGCCCCTGCCCTGACCAGACATTGGATTTGGGGATAGCTGGAACCTGCTAAAATGGGGCAAGAATGAGACTGGTGGGGGAAGCTACTGAATCTGAAAGGAGCAATGGTCTGTATACTAGTGAATCAGGACTCTGGAAATTGGAGAAAGTTGAGGCGGAGATAGACTGAAACCCATGTGGTGATAGCAGTGGTGTGGCACTTGCAGCTGCTGGTCTAACTGAGAGAGAGGTGCTCTTCATCTTCAGGTTTTGCTAGCCTTGACTTTCTGCTCTCTTTCCTGGAGGAATTTGAGCTGGGCTTTGAAAATTAACCACAGCCCTCCCCAGAATCAGAACTAATTGAATCCAGGTCAGCTTTGATATGTGTAATAATGCTTCATTGATTCATAGATTATGAGAGCTGGAAAGGTCACCTTGTCCAACCCCCTGAATTGTAAGCGTGGATAAATGAGACCCAGAGAGAAGTGGGGAGTCTGGGGTGATTGAGTAGGGAATCTATTTAGCAGAGTTACAGAGATCAGCCTAGTTCAGGGTTTTTTCTTTTTTTTTCTTTTCTTTCTTTTCCTTTTTTTTGGGCAATTGGGGTTAAGTGACTTGCCCAGGGTCACATAGCTAGTAATTATCAAGTGTTTTGGTCTGAGGCCAGATTTGAACTCAGGTCCTCCTGACTTCAGAGCCGGTGCTCTATCCACTGCACCACCTAGCTGCCCCCTAGTAGTTCAAGTTTGATATGTGTGTGTGTGTGTGTGTGTGTGTGTGATGGTGGTGGTTCATGGATCCTTAGGTTGGTCAAGCTGAAAAGGACCTCAGACACTACCTTGTCCAATACCCTAACCCCCTACTCTCAGTTTTTTCTCTGGGGAAACTAAAGCCCTGAGGTGTTATGTGCTGGAGTTAGGAAGAGAGTGGGCCCAATGTTATGACAGGCTTCAGACTGTAGTTCCTCAGCAGTCACAGAGTACAACTAAGGCTGTCTTTCATGAAGGGGACTTGCTGACCTCAATACCATAGGATGGAAAGCTAGAAGGGTCCTTTGAGATTCTGTAGTCTCAATCCCTCATTTTATAGCTGAGAAAAGAGGCTCAGAGTTAGAAAGAAAGGGGCTGGGGAGTGATGACACAGAAACTGGAGCTAGGCTAGAAATAATGGCAGAATAATGAAACCTAGACCTAGTGTGCACTGAGTGATGAGGCTTGAGCAGAAAAGGCCTGGTTCCTAATGGAGACAGAATGAAAGGGACAGGGGAAGAGAGGCCACCAAGCACCTAGGTTAGTTGGTCACTGTAGTTGGCATGAGATTTACCTCTAAGTTCCCTGTAAGAGGAGATGGAAGGAGAAATGCACTTGGGACTTTTATGAACTCCTTGTTTGATGAAAGAAAGCAGACAAGTTTGCCTGGAGACACAGGTCTTTCCCTGGGATTGAATGCCTGGAGAAATTGATTACATGGGTTTTTAGAATTTCAGTTCTGTGGAACAAGCATGTACCCCTAACTCTGTGCAGGATGCTCAGACCATTGGCACTTAGGAACAAGGCCTTTGATCTATCAGTCCCACCATTGGGCACATACCTTAAGGACGCCAGTGACAAAAAGAAAGGAACCATAGGTAACCAAATAATCATAGGAGAACTTTGTCATAGCAGAAAACTGGACACAATGTGGGTGCCCATGAAGTGGAGTATGCCTGAGAAAATTGTATTGTATGAATATGATGGGCTATTATGGTACCATGAGGAACAATTCAGAGAAACCCAGAGACTTGAATGAAGTGATGCAGGATGAGGAAAGTAAAGCCAAAAGGGCAATGTCTCCACGAATGTCAGCCCTCAAAGACCATGGAAACTCAACGAATGTCAATGCCAGATCCTTGGCCCAAAGAAGAGAGGATAATAAACATATCCCTCCTCTTGGTAGAGGGGTGTGTGTGTGCATGTGTGCATGTGAGTACATGTGTATGTATGTGTGCAAACATGTGCATGTGTGTGCACATATGTGTGGGCATATGGGTATGTGTGTAAATGACTAGGAGTGCAGAATGGTGCCTGTCCTGTCAGATATGTTTATTCTCAATGTCAGTTTTGCTTATCTATGTCTCTTTCAGGGGATGTAATGGTGGTGGTTTTAAAAAAAACATGCATTGCTTAAACAAAATTAAAATGAGGGGCTTAGACTAGATGGTTTCTTAACCCTGTTTGAACTAGGTGGTCCATGACTCAGTGATTTTGAGCCTCAGGTTTTCCTTTCTTCTCAAAAGAAATAGCTATGGAGATCTCTTGTACACTATGGTTTGGAGGAAGCCCATGGGGACGCCATCCTACTCTGAGAATTGGGTGAGAAGCATTTAGAGTTAGGCTTAGAGACGGTCACACTCAGGTCATCTGAGGGAGATTGTCTGCATTGAATGCTGAAGTGCCGGGAGCCTCAGAAATCATCTTCCCCAAGGTACTGGGGACTGGGCACTGGGCACTGGGGAAGGAAGCCCAACACAGGTAAGGAAGTCGCTAGGGCTGTGATTCTTCTGCTGCAGACCAAATAGACTTGTTGATGTTACGAGGCTTGGTGAGATTGAAGAGGCAGGTCTACGAGAAGGCAAAGAGATGGGGATAGCACAGGCATCCCTATGTCATCCTCACCTCCATATAGCTCCCAGAAATTAGTATTTTCCCATCTATAATAAAGCTTAAATAGGCTGAACTTGTTGACTGCTGTGTACTAGTGATTTCCGCCCTGTCTTTAAAGTTTGCAGGTATTCACTTCCCAACTCCTCTCTTCTGATTCCTGACTCACTCCCCCCCCTTTTTTGGGATTAAGTGACTTGCCCAGGGTCACACAGCTAGTAAGTGTCAAGTGTCTGGTCTGAGACTGGATTTGAACTCAGCTTCTCCTGACTCCAGGGCCAGTGCTCTATCCACTGCACCACTTGGTTGCCCCGTCACTCACTCTTTTTCCTTTTCTTACCTAACTGTCCTTGAATGGTTGGCTCATACCATGTCCTGGTGGATAACAAACCAGGCAGGAGTTGGGTGGGCATGTACCATTTCTAGCTTCTTGAAGAAGTGGTATTTACTGCTGAAAGGAACTTTAGGGATCTCATCAAGTCCAATTCCTTCATTCAATGGATATGGAAACCAAGGAAACAGTGCAAAAGTGACCTGTCCAAGGCCAAATAGGTAGTAAGTGCAGAGCTAGAATTCAAACCCAGGTACTCTGACATTAAACCCAACTGCTGTCTTCTAACTTTCTCACTTCTGTCCATCCTCTCCTAGATCCTGTTCCATATCCTGCTTCTATTCATTCTTAGTCTCCCTTTATTTCATGTGCTTCCTGCCCACTCTCTATCCCCTTGACGCTAGGGTCCCAGGTCTTCTCCATCTCAGCCCAGTCTGTCTCTTGATCACTTTCCTCCTCAAACATTAGCATATCCAAGCAAACTCAGTCACCCTGAATCTGGGTTCGGCTGGACATTGTGAGTCTACTAGAGACCTAGAATTACCTATCTGTCACAGATCCAGCTCCTGAAACTCTTGAACTTATTTTCTATGGCCTCCCAGAACTTTTTATGACTCCCCTTTCCTCTCCTGAGTTCAAACACCCACATTTATCGAAGAGGAAAGAGGAGGAAGACAGAATTATAGATATGCTAAATCTGAGAACTGTGGGGGACCTTAGAGGTCATCTCACCCAAGCCATATATGGCCAAAGGTCCCCTCTACAACAGACCGTATGAGTCATCCTCCAGTTTATGCTCAACTATTGTTACCAATTATGGCCCCTGGGATGATATAGAAAAAGCCCATGACCTATTCCACAGGAAAAGCATTCAGGCATATGTCGAAAGCTCTCATGTCCATTCTCCTCCTGTCTCCCAACCTAGTCCAGTCCATTTACAAAGTAAACATGAGACCTGGCTTTTCATTCTGCCTCTGACTCATGTAGTGACCTTGAGTAGGTCCCTTCCCCCTCTCCAGGCCTCAATTCCTGCCTCTGCAAAATAAAGGGGTTGGAGTAAATAATTTCTAAGCACCTTAAAACAAGGTGATTTTGGTCTGATGTAGTTACCTTGAGCCTCAGTTTATTCTCCTCAAAATGAGTGACCCTGGAGTGACCTCAAGTTCTGAGAGTCTGCAGTTTAGGCAGAGCTACCGCAAGGATGGTTAAAGTAGCAACTCACCCTGCTCTGGGAGCTGTGGGATTGGGCCATGGGACCTACTTGTATATAGATGAGAAGTAGCCAGGTGGAGCCAGTTGATCTACCTAAAGGGTAAGAGGCTTATAAAGAGAAAGAGAAAGAGAGAGAGAGAGAGAGAGAGAGAGAGAGAGAGAGAGAGAGAGAGAGAGAGAGAGAGATTATTTTCATTTTAGATCAAATCCTTGGCATGATAAATTGCATCTTCCAAGGGAATAAAGCTCAGGTGTAGAAGACAGAGATGGGTAAACAAGTTGAATAATCCCTTGTGTTGCTTCTACCTTGGGGAAAATAAACTTATTGATGGCCAACCTTTCAGGCAGCTGGGGCCTGGAAGTGAAGAGAAGGGGGGAGGGGGCGAGATGGATGCCTTGGCCCAGACAGCGACCCCTTCCTTTCTTTTTTTTTTTAATCTTTTTTTAAACTGTTAATTTATTTTGATTTATCAACAATCACTTCCATAAGCTTTTGAGTTTAAAATTTTTTTCCCCTCCCTCCCCACCTCCTCCCCAAGATGGTGCACAATCTTATATAGACTATATATACATTCCTATTAAACATATTTCATATTAGTCATGTTGTAAGAATTAGAACCAATAGGAAGAACCACCAGAAAGAGGAAACAAAAACAGAAGAAAAAAAAAGCAAATAGTATGCTTTGATCTGCATCCAAATGCCATAGTTCTTTCTTTGGATGCAGATAGCATTTTCCATCATGAGGCCTTTGGAGATGTCTTAGATCCTTGTATTGCTGAGAAGGGTTAAGTCTATCAATATCAGTAATTGCACAATGTTGCTGTTACTGTGTGTAATGTTCTCCTGGTTCTACTTCACTGAGCATCAGACCATAAAAATCTTTCCAGGTTTTTTTGAAGTCTACCTGTTCATTTCTTTTAACACAATAGTATTCCATTACATTTATATCACATTCACAGTTATGATTACTATCTGTGTCTTTCTCTCCATCCTTCCCCCCCGTTTATGCTTTTCTTTCTCCTTTCTCCTTTTCCCTCCTCACTAGTGTTTTGCCTTTGACCACCGCCTCCCTCAGTCCCATCTCCCTTCTATTAGCCCCCTCACTTTTCTTTCCCCTTTTCCCTCCTACTGCCTATAGGGCAAGTTAGATTTCTAGACCTAACTGATTATGTTATTCCCTTCTTGAGCCAAATCTGATGAGTAAGGTTCAAACAATACTCATCTCCCCCCCTTCCCTCTGCTGTAATCAGTTTTTGTGTCTTTTCCTGTAATGTAATTTACCCTTGTCTGTATCCTCCTTTCCTTTTCTCTCAGTACATTTGCTTAGTTAGATCAGATTAATCCACTGACTTGGATCCATTTAACCCACTTGATTAGACTTTTTCTTTTAGTATTACAACAAAGTCAACTTATACCCACCCCTTTATGTATACCCCTCTAATATGATGTAATAACAATACAGTTCTCAACAGTTACAAGTGTCATATTCCCTTGTAGGGGTGTAAACAGTTTGACCTTATTAATAACATGTTGTTTCTTTCTGTCCCGTTTACCTTTTTATGTCTCTCTTGAGTCTTGTATTTGAAGATCAAATTTTCTGTTGAGCTCCGGTTTTTTATCAGGAAGGTTTGGTTGGAAGGACATTTCATTGAATGTCCATCTCCTCCCCTGAAAGATCATGCTCATTTTCACTGGGTAATTGATCCTTGGTTGTAATCCAAGTTCCTTTACCTTATGGAATATTATTTCCAATCCCTATGGTCTTTCAATGTAGAAGCTGTGTAATCCTGACTGTGGTTCCATGATATTTAAATTGTGTCTTTCTGGCTGCTTACAGTATTTTCTCTTTGACCTGGTAATTTTGGAATTTGGCTACTATATTCTTTGGTGTTTTCAATTTGGGATGTTTTTCATGAGGTGACTGGTGGATTCTTTTGATGACTATTTTACCCTCTGGTTCTAGGACCTCAGGGTTTTCCTTGATGATTTCCTGAAAGATGCTGTCCAGGCTGTTTTTTTTTATCATGATTTTCAGGTAGGCCAATCATTTTTAAATCATCTCTCCTGTATCTATTTTCCAGGTCAGTTGTTTTACCAATGAGGTATTTTACGTTTTCATCTATTTTTTCATTCTTTTGTTTTTGTTTGACTGATTATAGCTGATTGGCTCTCACAGAGTCATTAGCTTCCATTTGCCCAATTCTACTTTTTAACAAATTGTTTTCTTCTGTTAGATTTTGTACCTCCTTCCCCATTTGGCCAATTGTAGTTTTTAGGGACTTGTTTTCTTCAGTGTACTTTTTTCCCCAGTTGGCCAACTGTATTTTTTTTAAGGACTTGTTTTCTACAGTTAATTTTTGTCCTTCTTTTTCCAAGCTATTGACTCTCTCTTGCATACCTCTCATTTCTTTTCCCATTTTTTCTTCTACTCTTATTTGACTTTTAAAACCCTTCTGGAGCTCTTCTAAGAAGGCTTTTTGGGCTTCAGACCAGTTCATATTCCCTTTTGAGGTTCCAGATGTGGGTTTGTTGACAATGTTGTCCTCTTCAGAATTTCTGCCTTGATCTTTACTCTTCCCATAATAAGAATCTATAGTACGTTTCTTTTTGCTCATGGTGTTTGTTTATTTCCTGGCCTTTAAAGAGATTGGGCTCTCCTGCTGGGGAGCAGAGGGCACTGACCCAAGCTTCTTATGTTGGGAGCCTAAGGCCTTGGTCGCTGGTTTTGTGTGCTGGGGCCTCCAATGTTGGCAGTTGGAGGCTGTAGGGTTCTGGCAGCTTACCTGGTGTTGGGCTGGAATCAGCAACACTGGGACTCTAGGGGTTGGATTGGGTAGTATGGCCCCTGGAGGTGCCTGCTTTTCTTTTCCTTTTGCTTTCTTCAGCTCCTTTCAGATGGATGCTGCAGGATGTTTATCCATCTGGGGCCCTTTGGAGCTTGCTTCCCTTATTTATTCATTTATTTTTTTGTTGTGTCTAGGCAATGGGGTTAAACGACTTGCCAAGGGTCACACAGCTAGTAAGTGTTATGTGTCTGAGGCCAGATTTGAACTCAGGTCCTCCTGAATCTAGAGCTGATACTCTATCCACTGATAGTGGATAGTACTTTTGCTGAGGCAGTGGGAGACCTGGTGCTGTAGAATGCCGAGGCACCTGGTGTTTTCCAAGCTGGTTTCCAACAGTTCCCCCACCCTCACTGAGGCACTAGGGGGTCCAGGTGTTGGTGTTTGCCTGCTCAACCACCTGTGTTTCAGGATCTCCCCCTAGTATGCTGAGGTGGGGCTTTCTGCTAGCTTGCCGGGATGCCTCACATTCTGTACTGCTCCCCTAACCCCAGGGCAATAGGGGCCTTTCCCATTAATCTCTCAAGCTACCTGGGCTACTGGACTGCTGCACCCCATCTTTCTTCTGGTTCAGCTATTCCAGGTTTTTTCCTGGGGTGATATTTTCTGGGCTTTCAGAGGTTAACAACGGAGGGTAAGAGCTACTTCTTACTCCACCATCTTGGCTCCCAGAAGCAGAAGGTCCGACCCCTTCCTTTCTAAGCACATCAGTGCCACCATGAAAGTGAACCAAGAGATTGTGCTGCTTACTTGTGATTTTCATTCTTTCCTGAGACTGTCCCTAGTCACTTTTGACCTCCTCACTTGACTATTTTGGGCTAATCTTCTCACCTGTATAAGGAAGGAATGGGTAGGCTAGATGATCCCTAAACATCCCTCTAAGTTCTAACAGTCAAAAAATCCTGAATTTCTACCCCTCATTGTCCTTTGGTCTTTCCCTTTGGGGGAAGCCAGGACAACTCTAAACGCTCATCCACATGTCAGCCCTTCTGATACTAGAACGGCTTTCATATCACCCTACCAAGTCTCCTCTTCTCTAAGCTCAATATGTCTAATTCCTTCATTTGCTCCTTATATGAGATAGATTCAAAGCCTGTAGCCATCCTTGGTTGCCCTTCTATGGACACTTTCTGGCTCATGAATGTCCTCCTTAAACCATGATGCCTAGACCTGAACACAGCATTTGAGATGTGATCTGTCCAAGGAAGAGATTATACCGGGACTGTCACCAACTTGTTCCTGGAATATGTGCCTCTCCTCATATGCCCCGAGGTAGCATTGACTCTTTTGGCTGGCCCATCACACTGCTGACTCATATTGTCCTCAGGTAATCCTCTGAAGCCCTTAGGATCCCCCCCCCAAATGCTTCTGCTTTTTTTGGTGTCCTCATATGTGAATGACTTGCTCTCTTGCAAGCCCCTGAGGTATCAAAAATGCAGAAGGTGCAGAGGATTCACAGATATCCACAAACAGACAAACACACAAGACTGAACAGCCCATGAGGTCCCCTGAAAAGGGATGAGGTGAAGGTTGTTCTTGAGGCCACCCTTTGATATCATAGTAATTCCTTCTTTCCCCCAGACTCTTATCCTTTCTCCCCTAGACTCATGATACTCTGTGATTCAGAAGTTAAACAGGGGCAGCTAGGTAGTGCAGTGGACAGAGCACGCCCTGGAGTCAGGAGGACCAGACTTGAAATCTGGCCTCAGACACATTAACACTTAACTAGCTGTGTGTGACTCTGGGTAAGTCACTTAACCCCAACTGCCTCACCCCCCCCCCAAAAAAAAAGTTAAACATATTTTGGGGCTAACACAGAATCCATTGTCCATCGGACCTGCACTGTCCAAGGTACTCACTATATTTTCTCTGCACATAGGACACTGCACAGTAACTATTTATGCAGACCATCTTCATCTTTCTCCAATGAGCTTTCTGGATCAGGAAATGCCCTTCTATCTTTATAAGGTCAGAATCTCAGGGTCTCAAACTTGGGAACTTATACACTTAAGAATTCAGGGTTAACTGTGAGGTTGCCTAGGATATCCTTCTTCTCTGACAAGGTTAGATTCTGGGTCACACTCCTTAGAGAATTAAAAATGTCCTCTCCTTCATGCAGGATTTGATGTCCATAAACATTGTCCATGAGGTATCTCTAGGTTAAGCATTTTCACAGATTTGAACTGGAACTATATTCAGAAGGCAATCCACCAGGACCTATAGCAGTTCAGTGCCCCCAAGGTCCCCGCAGCACTCTACAAAGGTTTTGAGTTAAAATCTCTTGAAACTTCCAACCCACATGAAAAGATTTCTTCAGGCCTTTGAGACAGTGCATCTGACATCAACCCTGAATGAATTAGGGTTAAATGCAGTGCTTTGGGCTGAGAGGTTGAGGTTAGGGAAAATGCTCTCTTCCTTTCCTTGCTAATTTAACCTGACTCCTTAACTGTTTCCAAATCCACCTGTCAGCCATGACTCAGTCTGAGGCTTTGCAAAGCCCACTCTGCAGCATTTCTCTGATCTAAGCAAAGACTAGCTAATCAGAAGGTTCAGTTCCATCTATCAAATGGGATAATATGAGGTCCCAGAGGATCCAATGAGATCCTTCTTGCAGACCTCAAAAGCAGTAGAGAAATGCCAGTCACTTGTTTCACAAGTATCCTTCCTTGGCATCAGGCAGGCATGTGCCGGCCCTCAGAGTGTTTAGACAGCCCAGGCCTCCTGTCCAGGCCCTCTTCCTTCCTCATCCCTGCTGTTTTCGGGTGTTTGCTGAGCTTTTCTCTGGTGGCTTCTACGTGGAGTCTAAGGACCCTGCCTGGATTCATCAATTGCTTCTTGGTGACACAAGTGCTCAGGCTGGGTTCCTACAGCTAGAGGAGGTGCAGGACCAGCTTTGAGAACTGGAGCGCAGAATTCTGACTCACGTGGCAGAAGAGCAGGACAAGTCTGCAGCAAAGCTGCTGCCAGGTTGAGGCTGATCCTTCTCAAGGCCGGAGTGACCACTGGGGTGACAGAGGAGGTGAGGCCTGCCTCACTGCTGTCCTCCTAGCTGAGGTCACAGATTTGCCCGGAGAGGAGCCTGCCAGGAGAGAGGGAGAAGCACTGGCCAAGCAGGCAGCACCCTTGCCTGTCCCCTACATCGGCTGGGCCGGTCCTGCAGGTGGCCTGGCCCACAAGTGTATATCTATTTTAAATTTCCTTTGGACTTCCCTTTTCTCCTCTTCAACCACTTTCCTATCTTTTTTCCCCAAGTTGATTCTTTTTTCCCAAGGTGAATCTACATTTAAATGCACATTTATCACTATTAGATTCCTTATGGAATATGGTCCTTGAGATTTTCTTTCCAGATAGGAAAGTCAAAAATGAAATGGTTTCACTTGTTTCCCAGGTGCTGTTTGTTGTGGTCACTCACTTACCTAGCCCCAAAACATTGTGTTTCAAAGGAATGTTAAACATTATTTAAATGGTGCGGGGACAGAGCTAACACAGTGCAGTAAATGCAGCAACTTTCTTTAGCTCTCCCCCAAACACATCTTGAAATAACTTGAAAAAATGGCTCTAAATAAATTCTAGAGCAGCAGAAACTACAAAAGACAGAGTGATGCAAATGTCCATTCCAAGACAATGGATGGTTGATTAGAAAGCTCTGTCTCAGTTTGATTAGAAAGATCTATTGTGTAGAGCTAGGAGAGAAACACAGTTCACCTTGGGCATGTAGGAAATCAACCTGGTCCAGGGCTCAGGGGACTGAATCGTGGGCAGCTGTGGCATTTCCCCGATTCCTTGACCCAGAACTCCAAAGACAACTTAGAATGTCACTATGAAAATTCTGTGACCTCATGAGAGAGAAAGTAATTCTCAGCCCCATTCCAGGTTGTACCCCTGGTGGGGCGGGCAGCTGCTTCTGGATATTCTAGCCCACAGATTGAGGGGGAATTCAGTGGCTGATCAGAGGGAGATTAGTGATTTCTATGGGTGTAGAGGTAGAATTCTCTTTCTTTGCCATGGTTTTATGTGGGTCACAGTTCTGGGTGGCACTCCTGGGGCAAGGAAGAGTGCTGGCGTGGTGGAGCTATTACAATGGGGCAGAGAGAATACTCCTCACAGTTCCAAGGTAAAAAGGAATGTTTGTGGTCACTGATAGATCAGAGCACAGGCCAGGAAAGGAGTAAATACATCACTCTTTATCATACCACTTTGGAGACCTGAAAAGTTAGATGTTTCTGGAAATATCTGTGAACATAATTGCAGAAAACCCTCAAAGCTTGGGACAGTGTATTCTGCACACTGGATGTAGATCCTTTACCTTTTTAATACTCAAGTAATTGGCTGGGATCATGAGCAAACTGTGCAAAAAATGTCAGAGCATAGAATCTCTTTTTTGGTGGCAAAGAAGATGAAAACATACAACTAGGAGACGACAACAAAGTCAAAGTTCCTACTCCATAGCCACCAAGAAAAATAGGTCGCAGGCCATGGAAGAGCTGGGAAGAGTAATAAAAGTGACGCAAGAAAATCATAAAAAAACTAGTCAGCAGTTTGCTAAAGTAGACCCAAAAAATGGTGAAGAAAATCACACTTAAAAAACTAGAGAAACCGAATGGCAAAAGAGGTCCAAAAAGCCAATGAGGAGAAGAATGCCTTTAAAAGCAGAATTGGCCAAATGGAAACAGTCCAAAAGCTCACTGATGAAAATACTTCCTTAAAAATTAGAATGGAGCAACTGGAAACTACTGACTTTATGAAAAATGAAGACATTGTAAAACAAATCCAAAAGAATAAAAGTCAAAGACAATTACATATATCATAAAAATAACAACTTACTTGAAAATAGATCCAGGAGAGAGAATATAAAAATTAGTAGATCATCTGGAAAGCCACGATCAAAACAAAAAAAGAGGCTAGACATCATCTTTCAAGAAATTATTAAGGAAACTGTCCTGCACTTCTAGAATCAGAGGGCAAATAGAAATTGAAAGAATCCACGATCTCTTCGTGAAAGAGATCCCCAAAGGAAAACTCCTAGGAATATTATAGCCATTCCAGAGTTTCCAGGTGAAGAAGAAAATATTACAAGGGCCAGAAGGAAACAATTGAAGTACTGTGGAAACAGAATCAGGATAACATAAGATTTAGCATGTTCCACATTAAAGGACGCAGGGCATGGAATATAATATTCCAGAGGGCAAAGGAGATAGGAGTACAACCAAGAAACACCTACCCAGCAAAAGTGAGTACAATCCTCAGGGGAAAACATGGTCATTCAGTGAAGTAGAGGACTTTCAAGCATTCCTGATGAAAAGAGCAGAGCTGAATAGAAAATTTGAAATTCAAATACAGGACTCAAGTGGAACATGAATAGGGAAACAGGAAAGAGAAATCATGATAGACTTATTAAGATTGAACTGTTTACATTCGTGCATGGAAAGATGATATTTATAACTCATGAGATCTTTGTCAGTATTAGGGCAGTTGAAGAAAAAATATATGTATGTATATAGATAGAAAGATAGATAGATGGATAGATAGATAGATAGATGGATAGATATAGATAGATAGATAGATAGATAGATAGATAGATAGGTAGATAGAGAGATACAGGGCACAGGGTGAGTTGAAGATTAAGGGGTCATGTGTGGAGAATAACATTAAGGGATGAGAGAAGATGATACTTGGAGAAGAGAAAAGGGAGAGGCAGAATGGGGTAAATTATCAGAAGAAAACATAGAAAAGAAAAGTCTCTAACAGTGGAGGGGAAGCAGGGGAAGGTGAGGGAATGAGTGAATCTTACTGTCATTGGATTTAGCTTAAGGAGGGAGTAACATACACATTCAATTGGGTATAGAAATCTGTGTTACCTTACAGGAAAATAGGTGGAGAAGGGGATAAGAGAACAGGGTGATGATAGAGAGGAGGACAGATTGGGAAAGGGGGTAATCAGAAGCAAATAATTCTTGAGGAGGGACAGGGTCAAAAGAAAGAATAGAAGAAATGGGAGGGCAGGATAGGATTAAGGGAAACAGAGTTAGCTTTTCACAACATGTCTACTATGGAAGTGTTTTGCATAACTGCACATGTACAACCTATATTGAGTTGCTTGCCTTTTCAATGAGGGTGGCTGGGGAGGGAGAAAGAGAGAAAATTTGAAACCTAAAGTTGTGAAAACATATGTAGAAAAAATGTTTTCACATGGTACTGGGAAATAAGAAATACAGGAGATGGGGTATAGAAGTCCATGTTGCCCTACAGGAAACTAGAAGGGGAAGGGGATAAGAGAAGGGGGGAGAGATGGAAGAGAGGACAGAGTAGGGGAAGGTGTACGATGGGGCAAAAAATTGGAACTCAAAAACTTGTGGAAGTGAATATTGAAAACTAAAAATAAATACATTTATATTAAAAACAATATTCTGATTCCCAAATGAAATAATCTCCAGTATCAAGACATATCTTTACTATAGAATACCAGTTATATGGGGCTAATATTCTATTGGATCCGGAATTAACTGAAGCCTCTTTTAATTCTTTTAACAATTTAAATTTAAACTGTCTCTGAACTCCAGTGTTTGTACTTGGGTTATTTACATCTTCCTCCTCATGTACTGGAAATAGCATTATTTTGGGCACAGGTAATTTGAATTCCATGGGTACTACCTGTCCCTTTTCCTCTGCTTTTATAATTGCCTTTTCTAATAATCCTTTACAGTGTATTTTATGGCTTTTTTGATATTTATTTATCTCCTCATTATGTTTTCTGTAGGAGCTTGATCTATGTGAGGGTGAGGGATGTGGTGGTGCTGAAGGTCTAATACATTTTGCATAGATAACATCTTCTACAATTCTAAGCTTTTCCTGAAATATTCTATTCATATCTTCTTCTTCCTTAGTTCCTGCCCCCAAATCTGCCTTATGTATTTCAGTTATTAATAACACATCCTCTTGAGGATCGAGACATATTTTTAGCA